ATGCATATTACTACAAGGCTCTGCTATTCCCATTTACAATGCTATTCCCAGATACAACCTGGTGTTACTTACATTACCTCTTTGTGTTTCTCTGAGTTAACAAGGTACATCTACACAGATATCCACGGAGCATTTTTTAATAGCAAAACCCTGAAAACCTATTTATCTATTAACAGAGAATTTGAATAAATTATAATACATTCCCTCAGTGAAGTAGGACAAATACCTTTTTGGTGAATCAGTTGGGGCACAGACATACTAGAAAAATGTAAATAATTATACATATATGTGTTGTCATTTTAACATAATGTTATGAAAAAAATGTTTATTTGAAATTACACATTTGAATTTTAAAATTTCTGTTACATAAATGCTCTTATTTAAACAAAAACAATAAGGCTAGTTAACAGTGGGAATCAGTAGTAATTGGTAAGAATATCTAATTAAAAAATGTGTGAGAAGAATGTAATAGTATATTTATAATGTTAATATGTCATAAGCATCAAAGGATAATTATTCATTATACCTTAATACAGAAATTTATTTTAACTTTATAATAATTTTATTGAATTAGTATGTATTCTTTTTTTAAAGCTATTCTTTTTTCTTAAATACTTTTATTTTATTTATTTATTTTTATGTGTTGCTAAGGATTGAACCCAGGGCCTCACACATGCAAGGTGAGTGCTCTACCGCTGAGCCATAACCCCAGTCCCATATGTATTCTTAAGATATATGTAATGCAAGACTTTTAAAAAATTTTAAATGGTAACATCATATTTCTGCCTATCCCATGATACAGCGGATTATTTTTATTTTTTTGTTCCCTTTTCTGAATATATTTTTTTGAGCTGCCTATAGTCTTTCAGACAGCTTCATTTCTTTTATATTGCAGTAAACCAAATATAGTCAAATGTTAAAACCATTTTGCCTTGCAGTTTGACTCTCATCAAAGTGATGTCACACTATTTACTGGTGTCAACCCAATGTGATGATATCCAGCTACGTTTTCTGCCGATTCAATGTTTAATGTCCATCTTTTTTATTTATTTATTTATTTATTTATTTCTTTATTTATTATTGTCCATCTTTAAAAAAAATGTCTATCTGCTTTGTGTGTTGTTTAGGCAGACTAACTATTTGTCAATCAGTTCCTTCACATTCATTAATCACTAGTGTATGCCTAAAATGCTCATTGCTTTTCCAACACTAGGAAATGTAGAATGTCATCACAAGTTAAAACTTTGCTTCTCAAACCAGATGGTTTTTAAAGCAGAGAGGTATTTGTATCACTGGAGAAGGTGTGAGGAGTCCTGGAGACTCAGGACAAGTGCGGTTCTTGATCAACACTGCAGAAATGAATTTAAGGATACATCAGTTAGAAGCACAGATAAACTTATTTAGCAAAGCAGAGACACATTCAAGGGAGAATGTGGGTTATCTAGAGATTGAGAAATCTTTGAGGGTAAAGCAAGGAATACATATTTCTAGAGAGCAATCTCTGTGACCTGCTAAGAGTTACTCCGGGATGTGTAGAACAGCAGCTTTCAAGCTGTGCCTAAAACTGAGTTACTCCATTTTGTAATGCAGTACTGTGGTACAAGCTACTCCATTTTGAGTTTAGTGCTTAGGTGAAATGATTCTATACCTTGTTTGTACAAGTAAACAACCACTGTCTGCCTAGCACAATCATAAGGAACAAACTGATAAATTTATCAAGCTAAAAAATGAATACCTTTGGACTTATCAAATTAATGAGAAGCACAAAAATGCATGAATATATCAAACTCATGTCAGAAAACCTAGGCCCATGAGCTTCTGAAACACACCAGTCCATTGAATGAAGCAACTTCACTCAAGGCTCAAAAAAGAAGTACCCTGAGAATGGATAAGGTGGCACCCTGACCCTGTAACCTGGTCACTCATCTAGATCCTTGCCCAGGAAAATCACCACAGCAATGAACTTTTGAATCTCTGATCTTGTGTTTAACAGATTCTCCTGCCTATGATGATCACAGCGGGTCTACTCCAAGCCAATATCTCAATCTGCTTTCAAAAACATGCTTAGAATAAGTTCCTACACAGTTCTGTGCCCTGAAGAGGTTCTTTGACTGGTTTGTATTCTCTCTCTTTTTCTTGTTTGATACTGGGGCACTTTACTACAGAGCTACATACCTAGCCCTTTATATTGTTTAGACAGGGTCTCACTTTTTGTTTAGAGCATCACTAAATTGCTGAGGCTGGCCTCAAACTTGTGATTTGCCTCCCAAATTGCTAGAATTACAGGCACATGCCACCAAGCCTGGACCTGGTTCATAATCTTATCTATCCATCTACAATGAGTTCTTGCCCTCACATATCTTCTCTCTTTGCTCTCAGTTCAGCCTCTAATCCCTGTGGCTGCCTTTCTTATTTTCTATAACATATATGTATAAAATAATCATATATATACAAAACAAATATACATACATATATTTGTGTGAAGTATGATTTGTGACTTGAATGTTATATATATTAGAAATTGAATTAGAATAAAAGAACCCTTGATTGCCTGGCTTATGACAACCAGGTGACCCACCAATATTGAGTGAGTTGCCAATGAGAATATAGTGTAGCCCATGAATTGATTGTTATCCTATAAGTTCTGATATTGTTGAAAGACAATATCAGACATGTTTGGTTTGTGTTAATGACATAGGTGGCTCATGACAATATTCAAGGGGAATGTGGGTCATCTTAAGAGGGATAAGCAGCTCCTTGGTCTGGAGTATAAATATTTATAGAGGGATAGTAGCTAGGGGCTGAACTATAAGTAAAATCAGGGTAGAGTTACACAATAACCTATTAGTTTTCCTCCTGCTTGCACATTGTCCTGACATCCTGTTACTTTGTGTGGGTAAGCATGCAGGTCAGGGAAGACAGCTGGGTTGTTGAAGAGTTGCTTACTTTGCACTCCTAGGTGCTTCCTGCACTCCAGTGGTTCATAGGTGCTTTTCCTTTGTACTTGATGTATCTTTCTTTCTCTGCATCCCCAAATTCCTATCTCAATTAGAACTTGTGAATTGAATTTGGATTTCAAATATATTATAGTTTTATTAAAGAAAATTTTATCTTACTTAAGTGCTCAGTTCTGGTGGTATAAATTTGAAATATATTTATGTATTGTATTTGAAGTGTATGTTATTTCAAATACATATACATTTAAGTTCTGAAGCAGTCTTTCTTCCATCCAAAATGAGTTTGTTTTTTACCAGTCACAATCAACACATAATACTGCACAACTCAGAGGTAGTCAGTTCATCCTTTTCTAAATATCTCATGGCTTCTGCAAAAATCATCAGTTTTGGAGAAATAGGCTGTTTCTGTTTTACTGTAATTTTTTCTACATTCTCATCATCAATGTATTTCTTAGTATTTACTGCAAGTCAACCACTGCCTTAAGTGCTGGGGATACAGTTTTGATCAAAAGAAGGCAACGTGCCTACCCTGAGGAACTCTCTTATTCTGTAAGAGACAAGATGCACTTTTTTAATTTTTAAAAATCAACCTTATTGAGATTTGACCTACAGGCAACAAAATGCACACATTCTAAACACACACACATACACACACATACACACACACACTTATTGGTAGTGGGAATTGAACTCAGAGACACTCAGCCACTGAGCCACATCCCCAGCCCTATTTTGTACTCTATTTGGAGACAGGCAGGGTCTCACTGACTTGCTTAGTGCCTCACTTTTGTTGAGGCTGGCTTTGAACTCACAATACTCCTGCCTACACCTGCCAATCCACTGGGATTACAGAAGTGCACAATTGTTCCAGGCTCTTAAGTCTATTTTTCAGTGAATTTTTGAAATGCATTCACCCATATAATCGAAACCTTAGTCAAGATACAGTTTCCACCACCTCAAAACAAACTCTCTCCGAGTTAATTATTTCTTGACCCCCGAGCAGTGCCGATCTATCTTTCTCTCAGTATAGATAAGATTTGTCTTTCTTTAGAGTTTATTGTAAATAGAATCATACTTCTTTTGTGACTGGTTTCTTTTGCTCAATGTACTTTGGAGATTCATTCCTGTTGGTGATTCCTCTTCATTGATAATTAATATTCACTATATTGTATGGATTCATTTTATCGTATGCACCACAAGTTATTTATCCAATCACCAGTTGATGGATCACTGGGTTTCCAGTTTTATACTATTAAAATTAAAAGTTACTGTGAACATTAATGCACAAATATTTGTGTCGCTATGTTTTAATTCTAGGTAAATCCTAGGAATGGAATTACTGGATCATGAGTACATGATTATAAGAAAATGGCAGTTTTCCAAAGTGGTCCTATTCTGCAGTACCACCAGCCATGAGTAAGAAGTCCAGATGCTCTGATCCTTGTCAATATCGATAATCTTAAAATTTTGGACATTCTAGTGGTTCTACAGTGGTCGTGATTTGCTTCTAATCTGAGCCAGTCTATTTATATAACTCTATTTAAAAACTGATCATTTTATTCACAAATTTTAAGAACAAAAATGGTTGACTTGACTGGTGATATTTTGTTTTTATTTTCCTTTAGAGAACTCTCAAACGCTGTCTAGAAAATATACATCCAGTGTCAAATAGTACCAGTATCATGGAGCTGTTGGAGCCGAGATATTCATTCAGGTTCCTCACCTCCCAGATCTTTGGGAACTTCCTTAGCTTCCTTCCGTCACTTTTCAGCGCCACACAGGGCGGGCGCTGAGGTCCCAGGCTCCGCCCCTTCCAGAAACACGCCCACTACTCGGGACAAGGTGGGAAAGGAATGTGACTTCCGTTCTCGCGATTAGCTCTAATTCCGCGAGAAGAGAAGACTTCCGCCATCGACCGAACGGTGGCGGTGGCGAGGGGGGGGTGTGGCCGGGGAGCGCCAAGTCCCCGGGAGTAGGGGAGAGGGGGCGGGGTCGCGCGCACCAGGCGTACGCATGCGCGCACGCGGCCGGTCGGGCTGGGCTGAGAGGGGAGGGGGCGGCGGCGACGGCGGCGTCGTTATTTCCGCGGTCCGGACGGTGCGTGGCGGCGCGGGTGGCCACGGGAGAAGTAGGTAGGGACCGCCCTTGCGGAGCCACTGAGACCCCAATCGCTTGCGTGTCCGACAGCCGCAGCCCCCTGCCCGAGTGGCAGACCCTGGGGACGCCAGGTCACCCTGCGGCCCCGGCCCTCCCTTTGCGCTCCAGGTAGGAGCTTAGGGCTCCCCGGTGCCTGAGTCCGTCGAGGCCCCGGTCTTGCCTGGTATTACTTGGTGACGACCCGGCGCCTGGTGTGCCCGCCCTCCTGCGCGGCGACAACCCTGTCCTTGCTTCCGCGCGCTGTGGGGCCGGGGCTGGGCCGACCCGGGTGTGGCGGACGTGGTGAGGGTCCCCGCCTCAGGTGCGCCCCCGCGGTGAGTGTGGCTGGTGGGACTCTGCATTGCGTGCCCGCAGGCTTTGTCCCCCGGTCAGGCTGTACCCTACCCCTGGGCCTTGGAGAGGTTGGCCCAGTGAGTTCTGCCCAGGTGAAGTCTACCTTGACGAGAGTAGTTGTAGTTTGAAGTCCTCACCTGCGAAAGGGTACTTTGAATTGTTCTTTGGCTATTTGTGGCCAGTATTGAAAGTTTAAATCTCTGGAGTTGATTCTTTTTGGACCGGTGGTGGGATGGTTTGTGATTTTTCTTCTTAAGTAGTGGCAAGACAATCTATGAGCCCTGGCATGTGGTGCACTATTAGTAAATGAGGAGCAGCAGTGATGATAAACGTGGAATTTCATTGCATTAGGTAGTGTTTTTTTTTTTTTTTTTTAAACAGTACCATCCTCAGAAGAATTCTGCTTTTAGAGTTTAGTAAGTCTTTCATCCAGTACTTAAACACAGTTTTGTACATACTCTTCCCCTGAAAGCTACATCTTCTCTTATACCAGTGTTAATTTTACAGGCATAATGGTTATGAAAGCTTCTGTAGATGATGATGATTCAGGATGGGAGCTCACTATCCCTGAAAAAATGGAAAAAAGCAATACAAGCTGGGTGGACATAACCCAAGATTTTGAAGAAGCTTGTCGAGGTGAGTTTGAATTTTCAGATTAGAAGTTCAGAAGCTGTGAAAGGGTAAAATCATGATTGCTTTTTAGACTTACCTTGATAAATGAAAAAAAAAAATCAACAGGTAATTCTGGTTTATGGTTTGCTAATCACACTTATTAAAGGCAATATGCATTAGATGTAGCATTGAATAAGAGAAGTTGAGATAATTTTTTTCTATTAAATTCCTCTAACTTGAAGTAACAGATTAGAGTACACAGCAATAATTTTTTATCTGTGAAAACATTAATTATGTTGGCCAAATGTATTTTTGTATATTTGAAGAATAAAAATGGTCAAATCCCATTATTTCCTGTTTAAGATCCTCTAATGGCTTCCTGTTGCAGGTAGAATAAAATTCAGACTCTTTTTTCCACAGCTTTATTTTTGTACCATTGCCAGACCAGTTTCAGTCATAAGTTCCTTATTAATCATATCAAAGTGATTTCCCAGAGCCTTTGAACACTGTTTTTTTTTTTTTTAAATCTTAGATTGCTTCATGCCAGGTCTTCACAGACTAGCTTAGTCTTCAACCTTAAAAGTTATTTCCCCAGGAGCACTTCAAAACAACCATTCTAGCAAATTTACCCCCTCATTGTCTTTTCTTCTGTTTGACCTGAATCTGATCACCCTGTTTTGTTTAGGTACAGGGAATTGAACCCAGGGGTGCTTAACCACTGAGCCACATCTGCAGCCCTTTTCTAATTTTTTATCTTGAGATAGGTTCTTGCTAAGTTGCTTAGGGTCTTGCTGAGTTGCTGAAGTTGGCCTCAAACTTGGGATCCTTCTGCCTTAGTCTTGGAGGTTGCTGGGATTACAAGCATGTGCCACCATACCCAGTGAATGACCCTGTTCTATATTCTTCAGAGTGCTTGTCTTTGTCAGAAGTCTTCATTTTCTATTATTTTTCATTCAATGTCAGCCTCACTCACTAGATTATAACTTCTGTAATGGCAGAGATCATATTTGTTACCCTGGCACACAAAACAGTGTCTGGCATATAGTAAGTTCAATATTTGGGAATGATTGGAGAGATGAACAAGTTTGTTTTTTGAGGGGAAAGGGCATTAGGGAGATATGAAAGAGAAAGGATCAGATAAGAGTGAGAACTCAAACTTTAAAGAGAGGGTGGGATCAAGAATGTGGTAGAGAACTTGGAAAAAGCATAGGGACACAATAACTGAGGTTAGCATGGTGAATGTACAGGTATAAGTTTATGTAGCTAGGGAGAAATAATAGTGTAATTCATACTGGATGGCTTTTCTTTGTCCAAGAAACTTAAGTATTGATGATAATGAGGTGGGGTGTGTTTGAAGAGTACTTTGAAGGAGTGGAGTAAAGACTTGAGCAGCTGTAGGTGGAAGGGAGCTAGCTGAGTATAAGCTGAATGATAAATCATGTGCCTATCCTTTTACTGTTTGAAATCGTGTCTAGTTAAAGTATGCCTTCAGTGAGGTAGTGGAAAGAACATTAACTGAGAGTTGCCCATATTAAATATCTGTCTCAGAGAGAAATATAAATTACAGTGTAGATTTTTTTTTTGCTCAGAAGTCTTAGATGACTAAGTGCATGTTACCTATCTTGTACTAAATTTAAGTGCTTTATGTTAGGGGCTATCAATTCTGAACTTAAATGGGTAAGGATATATGGTTGAGTTGGGCCTTATAGGAATGATCGAATTTATGTAAGTGAAAGTGAGGGAATTATTCTGTATTGAAATGAAACCACATGAACTAGAGTTCAGTGAGATTTTTATGTTTGGGAAAGTGAATAATCTTGACTACAAAACAGTTTTCAATGGAGGGTCTTCAGTGTTTCTGTTTTGTTTTCTTAGTTTGAGCTTGTTTTATGAGCAGTGTAGATTTTTTAAGGGTTTTGAGCATAAAGTTGCATAGTGTTTAGTATAGTGACTTGGACAGAGTAGCTTCTCATTAAATAACATAGTAAGCTTTTGAGACAAATGTAGGCAAAAGTCCCAGGTCTGCCACTTATTAGCTCAGTTACCGTGGATGGTTTTAATCTGAGTCTTAATTTTCTCCTCTGTATTTGTAGAGTTTGAGATTAAATGAGATAGTGGATGTAAAGTACTTGATCCATTCAGAAATGGATATTTGTTTAGTGTTGAAAGTGTATGGAAGCAGCATATTTTATGATGTATTGGAATGGAGAGAGCCTATAATATTAGACAAACTTTTGCACTTAGCCTAGGTTGAGGTATTAAATTCTTGCACTAGGATAGTGGTAGAATTAGAAAGATTACATGAGAGAACAAAGAAAATTCATGTGATTTGATTGGTAAATTTTGCAGTGACAAAAGGAATATGAGAGATGTTTCTTAAATTTCCCACAAAAAACACAGCAGAGAATGAGCACAAATACTTCTGAACCTTCCTTTCCCAAATCTTATGGGTGGTGTTAAAAGTAGTTCATTCATAAGTAAGAGATATCTTTATCATTTTTTGTTTTATTTTAGAAATTCATGGAAAAACTTGCATTTTGCACTGTATTGCCCTGTATGTTAGAAGTCTTTCCCTCCCAGATTGTCACGTAAATTTGACAGTAGGCAGTTCTATACCTTGTTATCCTTATTTGAATACTCTAGGATATGATGTTTACCCAGTTTGGTATGACAGTTTGAAGACTGCAGTGCAGTCAGCAGCATTTGGTTCCATCTAAATGTAATTTTAGTCTTATGATGTGTGTGAGTGTGTGTGTCTGTGTTTATACACATGTGTATGTATGTGTTTTTGGGTGTAAACATACGTGTGTGTGTTTACATATATATCTATCCTCTACTTTTGGGGAGTTTTAAGGAGAATTGAACCTAAGAAAGCAGTTTAGAATATTGGTGGGGAGATTCTTTGCTGTGGCTTTCTGTAACATCATAGATTAGCACTGTTTCTTTGTATAAGGAACCATGTATAGGAGATAGGTTTAAGTTCTACTTCAGTGTGGATTGAAATGGGGTGGCACATTATTTCGTTGTCACATCATACCATCCTATTAACTCTAACTATATTAGCTTTTGTACTTTCTCAAGTGGTACAGATGTAAAGTGATTTATTATCTAATGATAATTGTTATAGCAATTTGCTATTTATTAGCACTTTATCTTGGAACTAAAAAATCAATACAGAATTTAGCTTCTTTTACATACAGATTTGGGACATTCAGGCTCTTGATAGTTCTTGAACCTGTGACATTAATAACTCGTTTTTTATTGTTGAAATAATCAGATTTATTAATTATTTATTATGCTTGTATTCTAGTGACTTTCTAAAAACTACATTCAAAACAGTATGGTTACATCCTTTCCTTTAACTGACATAGTGGTCTCTCTTGTGATGGCCTTGGCTATACTCTGGCGATTTTGTTTGTTCTTAATGCTATAAAATAATCTTTAGTGGACCTGGGATCATGGCTCAGTGGTAGAGTGTTTGCCTTACATGTGTGAGGCACTGGGTTTGATTCTCAGCATCATATATAAATAAATGAATAAAATAAAGGTCCATCAACAGCTAAAAAAAATTTTAAAAAATTAATCTTTTGTGATGACCAAGTTGTTTTTTATGCACATGTTTACTCATTCTTTTATTGGCTCTTGAAATTCCTTTGGATTAAACACAAACTTTATTTCTTTTATTTGTTGTTAGGCAGGGTGGTACACATTCCTTCCATCTTCCCTATAACTGATCTTGAGGCTCATAATATTTTTCTAAATTATTTGAGCTGTGGTACCATCACTTTTTTTTTTTAACCTGATAGATCATATGAGATGTCCTTTAGGAAATGTCATATAATTTAATGTCATCCCATTTTGCTACCTGTGTCTTTGATTTTTATATTCCATTCAGTTTTCTATACTTAGGTGCTTTCCAAATTACAAATCCACAAGTTAGACACTGCACTTAAACATAGATGATCAGATAAACATAAATGATCATATAACATACCCCACTTCTTCTGCCTACTGCATTACTTTCATACTATAGATAGATGGTCAACACCTTCTCTTAGAATTTTGATATCATCACGTACCTAGGGCATATAAGTAACCCAAAGTCTGCTTTTTCACATCCATTCTCTTTATACTCTATAGTGTGGGAGGATACGGAGCACATATCCCATCTTCTTCTCTTTTTGATGCCTTAGTTCATCTTTCCGGTTTTTAATGAAGGTACCATTGTTGAAAGCCCCTGTTATCCATCCAGTTTCTTCAGCCATTGCCTGATACTCTTTTTTCTTCTAAAGTGTGGGATGCTTAAGCTTCTTGTTTCCTACTTTCACCCAGGATGTTTGTAGGTACTCAGAATGTATTTAAGAATGAATATTCTCAGGTTATATTGCTTCAAGCCAAAGAATATTTGGATCTGAGTCTAAAAAAGTTTGAGAATCACTATTATATTAAAAGCTGTCATTTTGGGTGATTGCCTAGAACCAGCATAATTATAAACACAAGCGTGGGCTCTGAAATTGTGGCAATAACTTGATTATAATATTATCATTCAGGTGGTCTGGAATATGTTTCTGTAATCTTTTAAAAAATATTATCATTATAAAGTGATTACATAGCATTTAAAAATGTGCATAACAAAAATGTAGATTTTGGTGGGGGCAGGTGGTGGTGCTTGGGGTCAAATCAAGGGCCTTGCACATGCTAGGCAAGTGTTTTCCCACTGAACTACACCTGAAAGCATAGCACTTAAACTAACTAGCCCTTGATAAGACTTGTAGACAGTTTCCCCTTTTCCCTTCCCAATCCATGAATCCAGTTTAATGAATGATAATTGTTATGGGAATTTGCTATTTGTTAGCACTTTATCTAAGAGGGAAAGGATCAACAGAAATTGTCCTAGTAAAAAGATCTGGTCAACCTATAAATTAAATTTTTTAAAGATTTTATTTTTGAAAATGGAAATTATGTTTTCTTTGTGTCCTGACTTGGAAAATGTTTTCAGAAGTGGAACATGAGTGGGCTGGGCA